CCCAGCGGTTTGCAACAGCCCGGTTGCTCTGGTCTCAAGACACGAGTGGACGCTCAGCACCGGGATTTTCCAAGGGGGCCTAAGAGGTTGAGAAGGGCTGTGACAGACTGGCTCAGCCTGCCAGGTGCTGCGTGTGGCCCTGCAGACAGTACTACACAGAAAGGAATAGAGCAGGGGTGTCAAAGATCCAGACCGCCCCCGGGACGGACCCGACCTCATGCGCCTCGTGTGGCATGGGCCAGTCAGTGCTGGCCCGAGGCACGAAGCCGGTCTGATGCTGTGCGTGCAGCGGCTGGAGCTGGACCCGGTGCCATGGGCATTGCAGGAAGCACGGGGTGGGCTGGAGGGAGCACTGTGAGGTGTCCGTACACTGGCTGTAGTGCCTGGGGCCAGTCTGTGGGCCTGATGCAGCTTGCAGAGCAACCCCACCCTTCATTCAGCCCATGGGGCCGGAAGAGTTCAACACCCCTGGAATACAGTAATCTATATACAAAGGATAAAGAAAAGGGGAGGAAGAGCATTCAAAAAAAAATTGTAAGTGACCACATCACAGTCATTTGCTTTGACCCGATTCTTTGAGCTAGGTTTTAGTCAGGGAGATGCACTTTCTTGTCAGTAACAAACTTTGAGCCGACAAAAAAATACCACCTCAAACCTCTCCTCCTGTTGCCCTGATGAAAGATGGCAATTCCACTCAAATCCTTCTTCTGTAAGCCCTGCCCATGTGGTGGTATCCAGCTAATGCCAGCCTCAGGTGATAGCAGTAAAGATAGCTAAGACCTGGTCTGCTGGAAAAACTTCAAGAGCATCTAAATTCAACCCTGCTTTTCCACTTCTCTGAGCTTTACTGCAGCCCACCTTCAATGGAAGGCATGTGTAGACAGGGCCATGACTTCTGGCTGCCACAGTCCCTTCAGCTGCTGGTGCCTTCCTGCGGGCCACTTTATGCTGCAGCAGCACAGCATGTGCATGGGAACCACATGAATGTTTTCTCGGCAGTGGTGGCTACTGCAAGCAGACAGTATTTGGCAGCAGCAATACGTACATGCAGACGAGGCCTAAGCCAAAGGAGGCATACATTTCCCTGCTTACATTTGGTTCCAGTTCCTTTTGGTGCATGTGCATTTAACTGGGGAGGGGAGAGAGGTGGTTATTCATGGGCTGGGGAGGGCAGAAATATGAAAGGAGCATACAAGTGAAGCAGCTGCAGTAAGAACGTACGTGGATGGACCACAATGAGAATGCAGGGAAGAGCCTACAGCCAAGAGAAAAGCTGGACTGATTCTCTTTCCCAAAAGCCCTCTGTACTGAGGCTCAGCATGGAGCTCATCAGTTTCACAACTTGTTTGCTCCTAGTTCTGAATAACAGACATGGTGTGAGGGAGCCCAAAGCACAGGGGTCTGTGCAAGGCAAGTGTCATGAGGCAGGTGGGTAAAGTTAAGGTGTCAGACACTGGAAGGGAGTCACGCTGTTAGAGGGGACTGGGATACCACCTGAGCCTGGCAGGAGAGCCATGTCCATGGCCACAAGGTAGTGGTTACAGCTGGTGGCTCTGTGCACCACAGCAGGATTCAACCCCAGATCCCGACAAACTACCAAGGGGACACTTAAGAGCCAATCAAGAGAAAAGCCACAGAATCTCCAGTTACATGGAAGCAGTGTCTCAAATTACAGTACTCCCACATCTTATCCACAGGTGAGGCAGGGGAGGTATTTTACTTTTGGCAACTGTAGCAACACTAATTTTTGCACCTTTTAGGCCTGGAACATTCAGGGGTGACAATGGGAGTTTGCAGTGAGGCACTGAGGTGTGAAGGTGTATCACTTGGCAAACTTGTATCACTCTTTTATTTGCTCTGCAATTCTAGGTTTTGCTCCTGCAGTTTCTTCACAACTGAGACCCCCTTTTTTTACTCCTTTGCTGATGCAGTTTTGAGTACTGATAAACCGAGAGAAAAAGTTTCACAGCCTTTTTTTAACAGTATTTCTAACAGTAGCTCACATTTCCAAAGCATCTTCCACCCAAAGGATTCCAAACTGCTTAGGCAGACACTAATTGCAATGATAGGTTGCAGCAGCAGCAGCAGTCAAAATGCTTGAAAATACTCAGGAACAAAACAGCTCACCCCATGAGGCATCTGTCTGGGATGGTTTGGAGCCAGCAAATCCTGCATCTGTGTAAGGGCAAACCTGTGATTCCATGCATGAGCAGATGTAGTATCCCATTGATTTACAGGACTGATAAGATTCTCTAATCCAGTGGGGGTCAATCTTTTTGGCAGGTCTGCCACAAACTAGGCCCACACCCTTCCTGAGTGTCCCCCCCACTGTCTGCTCCCTGCCTGATTTGCTGCTTCGCTTTCTACTTCTTGGCCTGTGCTCTTTGCCCCATCTGCTGCTCTGTTTTCTGCTCCCTGCCCTATCTGCCACTGTGCTGCTTGTCTCTTCCTAAGTCTGCCATGTGGCACGCACAAAAGCTGCCTGTGCCTCTTTAGAGCAGGGGTGGCCAACCTGTGCCATATCTGCTTTCCTTGAAATACAGCACCCAGAATTTCACTCTAGTACTTGTTTCCAGCTCAGCAACCAGCAGTTGAATGAGTCATAAAGGAGTTGAGTGCTGTAGAATCCATGCCCACCTTTGGTTACTTGCATCAATGGCTAACCAATTTTGAAAAACATGGGTTTTCTAACTTAATCTAGCTTCTGCTTTCAGTCTGACTTGCTTTGGGTGCAGACATAGCAACTGAAACGTGTTTGGAAATGTTTCACAAACGAAACGTTTAAGCCAGGGGATGCACACACTGCTGTTGTGCAGTTCCCAAAAGGAATGTTTCAAAACACTGCTGCAACCTATTGCTTACCTCTACTCTTGGCTCCCCCTCTCCTCAAAGGAAAACAGGTAGAGAGGAGAGAGATGAGCTGAAGAGAAGTAAGTGGGGGCTTCCTGGTCCCATCAAAGAAAGTCTCACTTAGCTGTAGGTACCCTCCAGCTCTCCCTTCCCCCCCTCAGCAGAGTAGGTGTAGAGGGGACTGGGGCCAGAGTCCAGCTCTGGGCAACACCACCCTCCCCAAGTCGGGGTGAGCGTGCCTGGTTCTGGGAGAGATGGGGGTCCCAACAGAGACCCAGCACAACCCTGACCTGGAGTAGGGCTAGTGGATGGCTGGCTGGCAGAATGACTACCCATTCTCCCTCCCTTCTCTATGAAACCAGAACCAAAAAGTGAAATGCTCCAAAACAGTACCTTGTATAAAGAGCTACCTTTGAAGCTTTTCAGCCACTTTTGGATCTGGTCATTTGAAATATTTCAGAGGTATTTGAAGTGTTTTATGTCTGTCCACGCCTTTCCTGTCCTTGCTTTTTGATTGAGAAACTTTCCCCCCCTCTAGTTCCTTTCTAGTGTGTGAAGCTGATGGTTAGCCAAAAACAGCCTAAGATCTCACTAAAAACTTTGAGTGATTTTTTTTTGGTTACTGTACACATGCAGACAGAAGCTTCAGAGATGTAATCTAGTTTGTGGATTTAAGACAGGAGCACAGGTGGGTGGAACCTTAACCATAATCAATAAGCCTGAAAAAAGCATTGGAGATGGGGATGGAAAGGAAACCTAACTATCCCAGCAGTGAGCAGTATTTTCTCAAGGAAGAGAAAAAAACAAGCTCCCTCTTCTCATTACCATGTTTTGTATTCTCCTGCAGCTCAACGGTGGAAGCTGCAGGGTAAATTCCCTGCTTCGGCCATATGATGAAGAAAGCTAGGTGAGCTGGATTCTAGCCTGCCCATCCAGCGGGGAGCACTTTGGGGTGCTTAATGTGGGCAGGTTTTCCTGTAAATAGTACTTGTAAATAATTGTCTATGTAGGAGGTCTAGATGCCCCCGTTTCACCCCAGGGGCAGATGGCAGTCTAGGCCTGACAACAGGCCAGAGATTGCTCTTTCACCAGTTACTCGTAGCATGTTTCACTGTACTGGGTGAGTTGTTGTCCCCAGGTTAAGACTATAGTTTTGTTACAGTTTGGTTGCAAATTTGGCTGACCCGGCTTGAGGAGAATGAGAAGCTCCAAGAGAGCTGGGGAAGAGCAGAAGGTCCCAGTGTGGACAGAAAGTCCCTAGGCAGACAAAGTAAAGTCTGAATGAGGACAGAGGGAACTGGAATGACACAATAAAGACTGGTTGTTTTGAAGCAGTCTGCTGTGCTGCTTAAGACATCATCACTCTGATAACTGTTTTCTAAAGAAGAAAATACCACCCCCCCTCCTTCCCCAGGAGCTGATTGAAAAGGAGCTTCCAGAGATGAGAGTGCTACAGATCGCTGGGGAAGCCAGGGACTAAAAAGAGCCACAGCCAGAGGCTGCTCCTCCTGCAGCCACGCTGGGGCTGGCTGCAGGGCATCTTCTGAAGAAAGGGAAACCAAATAAGGGTGCTTCTTAGGGAAGTCTAGAGGGAAAGCTTTCCCCTTCCTCTCCAAAAGGGGCAGGGTGAACCTTTCCTTCCTTTTCTGTGACAAGCCAACTAAGAGGCCAACCAGTCCAGAGTGAAGGAGGAGAAGAGAAACCACTACAGGGCAGGCCCATTTTAAGCATATTAAAGACTATTTTTTCTTCTAAAGAGCCAAATGCCCACCACCCTTAGCACTATAAGCTCTTTTTCTGAAGACATATGGCACAATGAAGTGAGGCATATGAAGCACTGAGCAGAAAACACCAAAGCAGATACTGTGCTGAGGAACATTTCTACCAGAATATACCATGCAAATTTCTTTCGGGTGCTAGGTGCTGTACCTGGTTGATTCTAAGAAAACATATAGGTCATTGTTCTCTAAGGACTTCAAACAGAAAGACAATGCTTTCCATAAATTTCTTTTTCAGCTGAGTGGGATCACACATATTTGTTGTTGTGGTTTATGCCAAACCGGGGTACAAACAAAATGTATTTATCCAACCCACAAACAAAGCATTCTACAAAAGCAGGTAGTTCCATAAGAGGTTTTTTTTTTTAGTTACACTGGGCTGACCTTTCAAACAACTAGAACACACACCTTCAGATTATGCAGCTTTTTTTATCCAAGTAATCGTCTTTAATACACGCAATTTATTTTATATTTCTCACCAGTTAACAGTAACAGAGGTTGAATTACCAAGCAAGGGAGCACTATGTTGCAGTAATCCTAGGTGTTTGTGAGCACAGAAATACTGTGAAGCGTGCATTCACTGTTCCTATTTAAGTGTAAATAAGTCAGAAGTGTCCCAGCTGAGAATTTTATACAAGACATGCCAACAAATAAAGCAGTGGCACTTCAGTGACCTAACGTGCGGTAAAGTCATCTGAAATGCAGCAGCATAAAAACAGAAGCCAAGAGACAGAGTACCAAACTATATTTACTGTATACAGTAGTAAAGGACAACAAATAATGTACAAATTGGTGAAAAAACAATGAGATCTAACAAGATATCCCACCCTAGTCCATATACAATAAAATGAAAAAGAAAATAAGAACTTTTTCAGCAAGATTTCAAGCAAGCAGGAGATGATCTAGCATTGTCAAATTGGTCATGTAAATATAAAAGGCAGATAATGACCTCCTCAAGCAGCAATGGACAACCTATTTTAGGGCAATAGGATGACCTTTTAAAAATGTTCATTTGGAATAGATCCCAAAACTTCATATAGAACTGAAAGTCACCACACAAATGCATTTAAAATTCAATACATTTTGGAAAGCAGCAGAGCAGAATTTTCTCAGAAGAACCTTAAATTACTTGTCCATGGTTTTCATGTTTACCAAGCTTTCAATAGCACTTCTGCACATACAGCTTGGCCACAAACTTATACATAACAAGGAAAAACATTAGATTTTTTAATAAGACCAATTTTAACTACCAGAAACAAGCAATAAAAGAATCCTGAGGCCATATAGTTACAAATACCAAGATAAAATAAAGATACAGTTGTTATGCTTGTATTAAACAGGACGAGGGAACAAGCTGCTTAACTTTTTGTCCATCCCATAGTAAATTGATATTTAACTGTCGAGATGTATTTTCCTTATGGAACAGAATATACTACTGCTCAGCCATCAGCACTAGGTCTGGTAACAGCTCAGTTGCTGACATTAATTCTAGCCAATTTTCAGTTTTAATTTTCAAAGTTTACATTTCAGTCTATGTTATCACATTATGACAAAGCACATGTACATTGACAATATTTTAAATTTTCACTCTATGCGAAGCATTATATCTGCATGTACAGGCCTTGTATCATAGGCTTAATAGCTTTAAAGTATTTGTGTTTACAACACACACTAGATGCTTTTAATCAACTTTTCCTTTCCTCCTCTTAGCCATATCTTACGAGGAAACTATCAAGCTCACTACCGAAGTGAGAATATACTGAATTATTTACATGATTAGACTTAAGCAGTAGGGCAAGAATATAACACAAACCAGGAATGAACAATCCGTGTCCTGGAAACCTTAGGCCACAGGTTTGTAGAAACAAGAAAACAGCAGACAAACAACCCTTACTTTAATTAAACTGAAAAGTTAAATCAGATTGGCCCAATTTAAGATGTAGATTAATCCCTGCAGATACAGTTTTGAGTTGCACACGCCGTATGTCAGAGACAAGAAAACAATTTTGGAAAATGTCCTCTAAAATTTTAGAAGAATCCTGTGTGATTGGCATGTTCATTTATTTACTATTTAATAGCAAATCCAAAGACAGATGACAAAAGTGAGGTGCGATGAAGGTCTTTTAACTTCTCTTCCCACAAGGACAGCATATTTAACACACTCCACCTGTCTGTTGTTGAAATACATCGATGGTATCTTCATCTTCCATCTCCAGCTGTTAAATAAATACACAAATCCACAACTACATACGTTTAAAAGGTATTAACTTTACACTCATTCTTAAACAGCATTATTAAGCAGCAGTGCTAAAATCAGAATGCAATTCCTTTCACCACTTAGGGTTGATACCCCTTCCTTTCTCAGCAAGCCACCCCAGGATGCCAGCTATAGTCAAGGTCTTTTTCAAGTTAGATCTTCTTTGTTTTATGAGTTAGTTTTCATGTCTAATTTCTACCTGGCTTTAGAAGGCCAGACCAATCACTGGAGGGGCTCCTTAGTCCAACTGACACAAACTAGAACATCTATGTTCCGTTTCCTGAATTACCCATTATAATCTTGCCAATACTAGAAGGCACCTATAGGCCAGTCAGTCTCACCTCCACCCTAGGCAAAGTCTTCGAAAAAATTATCAAGACTCACATTTGCGAGAGCCCGGCAGGACAAATTATGCTGAGGGGAAACCAGCACGGGTTCGTAGCAGGTAGATCATGCCTGACTAATCTAGTCTCTTTTTATGGCCAGGTTACAAAACGCCTGGACGCAGGAGGAGGGGTTGATGTCGTATACTTAGACTTCAGGAAGGCCTTCGATACGGTATCCCACACCATACTGGTGAACAAGTTAAGAGGCTGTGACTTGGAGGACTACACAGTCCGGTGGGTGGCAAATTGGCTAGAGGGTCGCACCCAGAGAGTCGTAGTGGATGGGTCGGGTTCAACCTGGAAGGGTGTGGGCAGTGGGGTCCCGCAGGGCTCGGTCCTTGGACCGATACTGTTCAATATCTTCATCTGCGACTTGGATGAGGGAGTGAAGTGTACTCTGTCCAAGTTCGCGGGTGACACAAAACTGTGGGGAGAAGTGGACACGCCGGAGGGCAGGGAACAACTACAAGCAGACCTGGACAGGTTGGACAAGTGGGCAGAAAACAACAGAATGCAATTCAACAAGGAGAAATGCAAAGTGCTGCACCTAGGGAGGAAAAATGTCCAGCCTACCTACCGCCTAGGGAATGACCTGCCTGGTGGAACGGAAGCGGAAAAGGATCTTGGAGTCCTAGTGGACTCCAAGATGAACATGACTCGGCAGTGTGACGAAGCCATCAGAAAAGCTAATGGCACTTTATTGTGCATCAGCAGATGCATGACGAACAGATCCAAGGAGGTGATACTTCCCCTCTATCGGGCGCTGGTCAGACTGCAGTTGGAATACTGCATGCAGTTTTGGGCACCGCACTTCAAGAGGGATGTGGATAACCTGGAGAGGGTCCAGAGAAGGGCCACTCGTATGGTTAAGGGCTGGCAGGCCAAGCCCTGTGAGGAGAGACTGGGGCACCTGGACCTCTTCAGCCTCCACAAGAGAAGGTTGAGA